CTGACGTGGCGCAGGGTTTTGGTGGTGGCGCAGGGTTTGGGGTGCGGTCAATCCTAACGTCACTTTCGGAACCAATAAAAAACTATCAATCAAGACAACCCGTAAAACAAGTCTGTGAAGCAGCGTCGAGCGCGACCTTTCTTCCGCTTTCGACCCTTCAGCCACGCTTCCAGCTGCCTGCTGTGACGGAAACGCCTCGGAAGCCTCGCGGCCGGACTGCCTAACGTCACCTTCGAAACCCATAAGAAAGGACTGGGAGACAGCCCGCCCAACGTGGCCACGCTCCCTCCAGACTGGCCTCGCCAGGCCCGAAGACCAGCCAGCGGGCCCGACAAAACGCCAGCACCTGCTGTGACGGAAACGCCTCGGAAACCACGCGGCCGGACTGCTGTGACCGAAACGCCTCGTCGCAACCCATAAGAAAGTACTGAGAGACGGCTCTCGCCAGGTGCGAAGCCCAGCCAACAAGCGGCCTCGGACAGTATAGTACGGACCGTTCGCCAGGCCACCTATATACTGTCACGGAAACGCCTCGGCGGCCAGGCACCGCGGGGTGCCTGAAGTCATCTTCGAAACCCAGAAGCAAGGACTGGGAGACAGCTTCCCAGAGCAGCCTCGGACAGCCCAGCACGGACCTGACGGAGGCGGTGTCGCCAGAACTCGGATATACCTTCTCTGATGCGCTCCCCCTGCTGTCTCAGCGGGGTCGGCAGATTCGTTGATTTGCGCAGAGCATGAATCACCGTTCAGTTGAGCTTTTGCAGCATGTGCACCCCCGACACCCTGTGCCCCTGGTGGCTTTGGACCGCACCGGGTAGTTGGGGTTGCCCGTCGTGGTGAGGTCTCTGCGGACGCCAGCCATTCGGCCTATGATGCTGAAGTGGCACTCTTTGAGAACAGGTCGATGGCAGAAGTCTCAGTTCCCCGGCGCCAAAACAGTTGCCCCAAGACCGAACCAGCAAACCATAAATCAATTGGTGTTTGGCATGGTTTGGCTTAGTTGTGGTCCTTAAGCACACTTTCGACAGGAGTTGGTGAAATCCGCTGTGGAAGAGGCCGTGCAATGCGAGCTGGCAAGTCAAGCGGAAGCCATTCCTGGCACTTGCAAACATCAAAGACGACTTCCAACAATGTCAGCAGCACTTGTAGTTAGCATGTTACACCCGAAGGCCCTTCGTACACCACTAAACAGCTTTCAACTGCCCCAGTTCATGTCGGCAGACTTTCTTCATGTCGGCGAGGCCTCCGTGGGCGGGGACAGCCACACAGCGGCCGTTGACGCAGATGTGGCGCTCCTTGCGCACCGCTCTGTGCAGGAGGTTCTCAGTGCTGTGGCCCAGCGGTCAGAGGCAGAGCAACCACCGGCAGTGCCCGAGCAGCCAGCGGAGGTTCAGCCCTCGAAGCCAGTGGCACCAGCGCAGCCGGAGCGTCCGGTAACACTTGAGCAGCCAGTGGCCCCAGAGCAGCCAGTGCAGCAAGAAGAGGCGCCAGCAATGCCAGAGCAGCCGGTCGAACCAGTGGCGCCTGGAGGTGGGGGATCCAAGATGCACAGCCAGATGCCGTTCACTATGAAAAAGTCTTTCAACCCAGACAGATAATCAAGGAAGATGGCAACATTCACTCTGCAATTCCAAGAACCCTTTGAATCACGACTTTCCGATCTCAGTCGGATCTCTACATGTCTTCGGCTGATCCACATTGAGGCACGGAGGCTCCAAGCCAAGCAACCGCAGTAGACCCAGCGCAGCCCATGGTCGAGCCATCAGCTCCTACAGTTGAGACTTGGTTGTGAGGGCAGGTGCGGTGCAGATGATAGTCATTGGAACATTTTGATCGTTTTCTTCTCAATCAGATGAACTGAACTATCTCTTTATTTACCGCGGGGTACTTGCCGTCTAAGGCTTTCCCACTCCACCGTCATAGGTGGTATTCCCATGAGCCGTTCGATTCCAATTACCTTTGACCTTTTCCTGGTGTGAGTATTGGTCACTTCATTGTAAATTCCTTGTTAAAGCTCAATGAACACTAACTTTTTAGTATTGTGGCCTTACCTTCACACTTTTGCGCAATACTATGTTGCTTGACACTCGTCTAAAATACCCGTGTGCGAGGCTCGTGCTTGACACTCTCAAACACTCTACACTCTTCTAGGGCTTGCCCCGGAAGTCTCGCGTCAAGTCTCCAGAACAAGAGCTTACATCTACTTCAGATGTTTTAGATTTTACTGAATAATCTCTTCCACCGCCGCCTATTGAAAAACACGCCCCGCCCCGCCCCTCCCCCCAAAAAAGTCCGGTGTCGTTTTTGTTATTAGCGGGTCTTCAAATTATTGGGGAACCCGGGGGCCCGCAAAAACGGAAAGAAGTCGCCTAGGAAAGTAGAAAAAACCGCTGGCAATAAACTCGTATCAACAAATTGACAAACCTCCAGATCGAAGGGCCTTCCTTTCTCCTTCAAAGCCCTGTATTGAAATATATTGAAATAGTGATTCCTCGACATTCTTCGCTCTTTTCATCAGACTAACAGCTAAAGATGTCGAAAGGTGATGTCGCTGTGCCATGCAGTTTTGCGCGGCCTCAGTGGAAAGTGCGTTTGCGTGGCTTTGTGCCATTGGGGAAGGGTGCGCATGCGTGTGTAAATGCGGCATGGCGCGAGTCACGGGGGCGATGGGCGGGGTCCTTAAAATACAGCAACTCAAATTTACCTATGCTTGTAGTTGGTTGGGCGGGCGTAGATGGCCGTACGTCTTCGGCCACTTTTGTCATTCTAAGATGATGTTCTTCGGTGGATGATGCACATTGTAACAATCGGGGGGTTGGGGGTGGGGGGGGTCATGATGACGTTCGTTGTTGACTGTAAACTCAGATGATGCATTGTGTTGAATAGGAGGTGTGGAGGTTATGACATGTTTCTAAAGAAGGTTATCAAGAAATTTTTTAAAACAGACTCTGGATAAAAACTGACTCTGGGATGTCTTTGGGAATGTTTCTAATCTAAAATTAATGCATTTCAACACCAGCACCCCAGCACAGCCCCTGAGCAAAGGCTGTAGGTGGCAGCCTGTCAGAACACAAGTCAAATCAAGATTATCGTGTGAGAATGAACATGATCAAGCGCAAGCACAAAACTGAACCAAAGCGCAGCCACACACTTTTCTCACATAGTCCGGCGGTCTCGGGGTTGCAACTACTTGAAGGCTATGAGACATCTCCCGTCATCATGGAGATTTCTACACAAGAGCATCAGCATGACTTCAAGCGGAAAGAACACTCAGTACCACACCAAGGCTCATCAAAAAGTCCGACGCGAGCCCACTCAGCAAAAGCAGCATCTGTGGAAAAGGGCTCAATCCTTGGCTTCGCAGACTCAGTACCCATAAATCCTGTCAATGCAAACTTGTCATTGTCAAGACTAGAGTCGGCTCAAGGCAAAGATCTTGAGGCTGCAAAGCCTCCACAAAGCGACTCATCTCCTCCGCTGACATCAGGTCACTCTTCCACATCATAGTGAATGGGTATCGAACGCGTTCACCCATGTTGCACAGTGACTCCCCACAAAGCCTTGATCCAAAAACTGACACATGTCAAAAGCAAATGCCAACAAATGTCAACATCCAAAAACTGTCAACAGCAAATGCCAACAAATGTCTGTCAACAAATGCATTAGTCACAACAAAGCTTGAGTCCGGAGGACAAAAGTCGGATCTGAACCTTTTGAAGCTCAGGGCATCAAACAGTGAGTGCGGGAGCTTGTGCCGCCAGCATTGGCGGGTCGAGTCCGGCGGACAGGACAAGGTTTGAAGCTCAGGGCATCAAACGGTGAGTGCGGAAACGTGTGCCACGAGCAGTGGCTGACTGACCATTTCAAGCCTGTGATGTCGATGTCGTGCTTGTCGACAAGTGAGTCCAAAATATCGAATGGCACTTGGTTGGCTTCAGGGCCCTCCATATCGAAGTCCCACTCGAGGATGTCGTGAGGATGGACCCTTGGATGTGATCAGTAGCTTCAGCACCAATGACAGGTCAAGATTTCGACAATCAAACACACACACACACTGCTGGCAAGGCCAAGCCACTTTGCATTCGGCAGCGTCTGGAGCAGGTTCACAGCCATCTCATCTGCCCATTGCCATGAACCAAATACATCAATTATCTTTTTCTTCCGCCCGGCTCTGAAAAGCTCTTGATCTGATTCCATATATAGGATGCAGCCACCTCACATACCCCTTCTCTCCATCCCAATCCATGAGGGCCCCGACAAAAAAGGGCAAGGAAGAGCCACGCACTACAACCCAATCTCCTGGAGTTACATATGGGTTACGGCCACCTCTACAATGCTCCTCCGGCGGACAGCCATCAACAGTAATCAAGGAGTCGACCGGCTGAGCTTGGATATCAGCCCCAGGAGCAACTCAGATGAGAACATCATCTGGAATTCCCAAAGGCTGCACCACATCACTGCCAGGTGAGTTCAAGCCAAATCTGAGCATCTCTTTGTCAACGCCTGTGTAACCCCATCGATTCGTAGCGATGGACTCCAGCCACTCGAGTCCTGATTCGTGCATTTCGTAGGAACCCTGCGCTTGGAGAGTGCGGCCCAAAAGCTTGATGAAGTTCATGTGGTTCGTGCTCTCCTTCCCGCCAAACTCGTGCTCGATGTTTGGTGGATGTAGAGAAGCAATCGTGTCCAAGTTTTCAATTGGAGCCAGGAGCACATACCTGCTCCAGTCTTCATCTGTGACATACTGCTTCCATCTTGCGTGGATTCCTTCTCCATCTCTCATCAGCTCCATGCAATGAATGTTCCGCAGGCGTCTGAACTCAATGCCAATAGTCCGCCGGATTTGCTCGAAGTCCGACGTTACGCCCAAGTGGTTCCAAGGTCCGATCTCAAAGCCACCTTAGTCATCAATGCTTATGTCCAATGATGTCCGACGGAAAGCAGCCCCTATCAGCCAAGAAACGAAGAGAGTTGGATACAATCTGCTCCAGCTGCATGAATGTCAGGTATGAGCGTCCACGCAATGATACCACCAGCCTGGAAAAGAATCCTGAGCACAAGTTCAAATGTCACCGCGCCAGATCATCAGTCAGCAATGAGTCACACAGACACTCAATCAATAATTGCGCAAAATGTCTGTCGATTGGTCCGTGGGAGTGACCCACAAGCGGAAAAGCAAACTGCATTTTGAAGAGCCGGGTGGACTTCATGATTGACAAGAACCAAATCGCAAAGGCCATCATGGTGGAGTTCTTGGTCTCCTTTGTGTTATCTGATACGACACCTGAGCGAAATGACTGAATTAATACTGTCATGGGTTGAGGCTGTAAAGGCGCAACCGAGAAGCAAAACGAAAGGGGAAAGTGTCCGGCGTCAAGGACTGCTTCATGAAAAGCTCGGAGAATGACACTCGTTTGCATGTTGGCACCGTGCTTGCAATTTTCTAGGACTGTCCAAACTCTCCATGGCTTGTGGTTACCTCAGTTCAACATCAGCGACGCAAAGAACTAGCTGTCCAGAGTCAAAGACAAAAAGGTGCTGCCAAGAGGCGAGGTCCTTGCCACCGCATCCCGATCACGCCCACCACAAACCGTGCGCCGGTCTTGAACAAATGAGTACCAGACCTCAGCAAACTAGCGGTTGCTAGTCAAATCATGAAGCAGGACAGTATCCTACCTCCAGCCAAGCATCCCAGCAATTGTTGGAAGCTTGCACTTGTTCTGGTCCATTTTGTCGATCGACAAGACCCTTGGACATGCCACGATAGTAAAATGCACAGACAGCAACAATTTCCAAATAATGACAGAACTGAGTAAGCCAGGCGGCCACTCATCGCCACTTGATCTCCTGGCAGATTCCTGCATCTTGTGAATCCCGATTCGTTGCGCTGCCTGGAATGCAAAATGCTGTCCCAATCGTCGGCGAATGGTTTCAATGGTATCTCTTTGGTCAAAAGCTGGGTCATGAAGGTGCACACACTGCAGCCTCAGAGTCAACAGGTGGGTCACACAATGAAGAAGACTCTCGTAATTAAGTACCTGAAGATTGCAAGTAGCCTGTGAAAAGGCTCTCGGACTTTGCCAACACAATCCATGGCAGCTCAACTCGCCAGCTATTGTTGAAGGTTCCCAAGTCCGCTGGCCTGCCATCTAGGTGGTCCAAATTCTGTTGGGTCCTCGAACACATGAACACAAGGATCAATCGTCGGACACACAGAGCATAATATATAATTGACATAGTGGGGCAATCCTCTCAAACCAGTATGCTGAATGATACCAGCTTCTCCGTCCGGCAGGCAAGTACAGCTTCTGAGCCATTGGTGACCATTCCCCATGTCGTTCTGCATATACCTCCAACCAGTTTCTTGCATCCTGAGTTGTGCAAGAGGTGCGGCTTGAGACTTTCAATGACAAGGCTCAACATGACTGATGCAATGTGCACACACACACAAGCTCAACGTGTTGTCCAAGTACTTGTGAGCACGGGGAGTATTTCGCACAGACTGCCAAAGGCCCATTTCCGAGCGTGACAGCACAGTCACTTTGTTCTTGGCGGCGTCGCTGCGAGCTTGTTGCAATGTTCCCGCACTGACTCCCGTCAATATTTTGAATGCCTCAACACATACAGACACACCGAGGAAGGTAAAGTCACCCTGGCCCCTGGCCGCTTCCATCAAATGTGTCCGGCGGTGATGCTTTGGCATGGAGCTCCATAGAAAGCGCCAGTTCCTGACCAGACCAGGGTCGCACCGGAACCGCTCAAGACAGGGGTGTGTTTT